GCTACGGAGGACATTTCTCTGGACCGAAGAGGACCTGCTTTGTGAGAAGCGAGTAGCCCCCGGACGCATCTCGAAAGTGCGCCGCGCAAGCGCGACATGCCATGTCTTTCGTCATGAGACGCTTACGAGTAACATAGGCACACATTGTACACGGGCAGGGGTACCACCTGCGCCGCCTCCGCGGGACAGTCTTGACCACACGCTCATTGCCAGGATGCCCGCCGTGGTGGCACATACAGCAGGCCTATCGCGATTGACCTGGCCCGGCGATCAATGCTCCGCTCCGGTGACCTAAGGCCAGCCGTGCTCTCGGAGTTGGCCACCTTACGGACGAAGTGTGTATTTGCAGCATAGCTGCCATGGCCGGGAGCCTGCTGCTGCGGGCGCTTCCTGGTATAGCGTCAATCTCGCGCCGGGGCGGACACCTCCCAGCTGGTGCAATCTCCCGGCTGGGAGACGCTCGAGGAAGCGTCTACTGAGGTCAGAAATAATGAATAACGCGATACCTGTCACGCCGATCGGATCGAACCGAAGAGGTGTGATGTCATGAGATGAGTGAATGACGTCACACCTGGCACGCTGCTCGGGTGGGACTTTGTGTGACGTCATGATATGAATGAATGATGTCACACCTGACACATCGATCGGGAGGGACCTGGTGTGACGTGGGATGAATGACTGACGTCACACCTGGCACGCCTATCGGATGAGACCGAGGAAGTGTGGCGTCATGAGATGAATGAATAGCGTCACATCTGGCACGCCGATCGGATGGGACCTGGTGTGATGTTAGTGGTGTGATGTCATGAGATAACGCTTGACGCCAAAGTGACGGCGTTTTGAATTATGGTGACAATTTTCTTTGCGCAGTTTTGATGTACAGAAAGACAATCGTGTATGTGCAAAGGCACCCGCGCATTTGTAAGCATTGGAATGGTTATCAAGGTACACATGCATTGCAGAGTTCACAGAGGCGTCGAAATTTTTAAACCTGCTTTGCAACGTCATCAGAAGCTTTGTTGTCAACAGAGAAAATGTCCTATGTCGAGAGATCAAAGGTCATCGATTTCAGCTCACGCAATTGGCTTATTAGTTCTTATCATATGGAGGTGGGCGCAAAGTGACCTTAGAAGTCGATGCGCCCTAAAACCCCAATCATCATCATCATCTTATCATATGGATATATATTACATTACTTATTATACAATATCCCACCCAGGAGCTTCAGGATACCTAAATAAACCAATCCTTGCAGGGTTACACGCGCCCGGGTGTCCATTTGCTCCCTATATAAATATATATATATATATATATATATATATATATATATATATATATATATATATATGTAATAATTTATAAATATGATAATTCCGAACGGTGCGACATAGCCATGTCAAACTTTGCATATATGTAGGCTATATAATAGCAAATGCTCTGGAGTAAGCAAATTAAACGAAGCTTGAAAGCTAAACGATCTATGGCAGGTAAAAGTCAGGCAGGGGATGTCAGCGAAGACAATTTCTAAGGATCTATCCGATCTGTCCTGTCTAAGAATCTATCTAACGAAGACAATTTCTAAGGAAGACAATCCAATCTCTAAGGATTTCTAAGGTTCAATCTGATGTGACAACGGAGTGTTAGACGAAGCAGTACATTTCTGAAATGCTATCTTAGACAATAAAACAATTTAATTTAGGACTACAAGTGCTCTTGACCTAGGATAAGGCATAAAGGTCTGATCAAGGTCAAAATCAAACTAATTTTTTAGTCAAGGTTTTGTCACATAAGGTACTTTCTGGTGCTCATTTCTAATTTATTGATAACAGGGACCACAAGAGACATCGTCAGTGATCTCCCTCAAGACCAGGGTACGTCATTGATCTAAAATGACCCAGGTCAACAGTTGATTTTGAGGGGCACTTTAGACATCAGTCTGGAGTTTGGCCTTGTTATTTTGCCCGAAAGTCGTAATCTAGGAGCCTAAAATTTTAGCACAAACGAGTTCACATGCGGGACAACCCATCCTGTAAATGTGGTGTCTTTAGCTCTCTTAGGTTGTTTAAATATCAAGCGGGTCAGACTAACCTCACCCGAGCGGAGGGTGTTCAACCAGCCGCCCGGGCACGTGTTAACCCGCGCCCGGCCAGGGGTCGAGACAACCGCGCCCTGCCGCAGGGAAGTTGGCCTCCCCCCTAGGATCTTCTTCTTCCAGACGACGTATGAGAATACAAACAAAGATACTGTTTTGGAGGTCTGGTCAAATCATGCAGAATGTTACGATATATTTGATCTTAGTCCAAATGTGAGGCCACCAGAGGTCACGAAGGGTAAGCAGCTGTCGTTCCGATAAATGCATATAAGCTACGCATACGAATCGAGGCGGACATTGAGAGCGCGAAAATAAACGTTAAGGCTATGGAAGTCTATTCTGATCATTAACATTCCCCCACATGAGTCAGGTCAGATCAGGTCACCCTTTAACATTGCTCTACCAGTGGCCTATAAAACCGATAGTCTTCTTCACAACGTGCTTCTGACCAAGTTTAGTTTATTAAATGCAGCTGTGGGCAAATATTTTAGATATAAAACTATCGTTTTAGGGTGACCTAAATTCATCTAAAGTCAAATTAAGTCAAATCTAGAAACCATCCAAACAGAAAAATAAAAGGCTAAGAGGGTCTATGTTACCAGTAAAATGCTATTCTGTGGCTAGCAATAGTGTATTATGCATCTAAAAGCACTCAAGATGGCATAGCTGTTACATACCGCTCATATACATAGCTCACCATACATAGTTCCTTCGACGCTTAGCAATGTAGGTGATAAAATTGAGATCAGGTACGTTGGTAGATGAAATTAGATGCCAACAGCTTCACAAACAAGACTAGGAGGTGGTTACACGCGTCACAATCATTCATCTAGTTTCTCCACGGCTGGCAACATAGGCCATTGACCTTGGATGACCTCTGTGACACTGCACGTTTTTACATGACCTATCGTGATCCCATTCTGCATTACAATTATATCACATTAGGTTTTCAGTGTGGCGCTTGAATTCTTTTTCCAAAATTACCCAATAAAACCACCAATTTTGCGCTCAGCATGTTTTGCGGAAGGT